AATTTATAATTAAGGTGTTTTTGAAGCCAACAGCAAATTGCCTTGTTGTTGTTTACTGTAAATTACCACTATGGCGCCTGTTGCTGCTATTTACAACAAGTTAGTTTTAAATTAAATTATCACATTAAATTTACATCAGCCCAAACAGGAAATACAATTCGACAGTGATTTTGCTTTTGTTAGCAAATACAGAACTGCATTGGAGAAGTATCAGAAAATTGTTTTGCTTAGTTGTAACAATTTAAAAAGACAATCGATGACGAGAATTGATAATTGCAAAGCCGTACTTAGGATATAGTTCTAGGTGGCACATTCACATTTTTAGTTTGTACTCTGAAGTGGGATAAAAACAATTGAGGCAGTACGAAGAAATTGGCAAAATGTTGGTCGCTTCAAATTTGAAAAACTGTTGTTTTTACCCTTCTTACAACGAACTTTCGATCCGATAACACGTGACATATGCTCATACGTTTTATAGTGAGGATCTCCAATCATGTTCCTGTGTGTGGGATTTTTAACCACCAAAAACCATTCTTACTCACCTTGACAGTATACCACCCATGACCACCACCCTAGAATAATTAGTTCGTATTTCAATCAGTCCGCATCGTGCTCTCTTGCCGTACGGATCTATTTGCTTTTTGCTGAAGAAAGTGTTACTACAACCTGAAGCTACAACAAATTTAAACAGCACTTTTCAGTGCTCAACCTGTAAAAAAATGTTCTATCTTATTCAACTCTTATTCCTCTTCGATCCTTGTTTGGACCCTACCCGAGGTAATCGATTGGAAAATTCCTCTTCGATCTTTCAGATTCTTATAGTAATCTGCTTGGAAGTCGATTTGGATAAAAATTTACTGCCGCCATGGCGCCTAAACGCAAAAGAAAGGGTCAAACTCTTGACCCCCCTTCTGATGAAATTAATTTGAGTAATCAATTTGATTTGCTCACGGATGATGAGAATGATCCATCATCCAAGAAAAATTCTAGTAAACTTTCCCGGCTTAATGCCAAGAAGGAAAAGATTCCCCCTATTGTGATAACCACTTCCGATTTCCATGCTCTTCGCATCGAACTTTTGAGTTTCGTTGAAAGTTAAGTTTTCACTACAAATTGGACGTTGGGGTGAATGCCGTGTATTGGCTGAAACCTTGGATTTAAATGTCTTCTCAATTATCTTACTGAGAAGCAGCATAATTTTTTTACTTACGACACCAAAACTGAACGTGTGTTCAAGGTTGTCATGAAAGGACTGCCCAGTGGTGAATCCCTGGATCAGATCAAAGATGAACTGGCAAAATTACTTGGAGTCGTGCCACTCCAAGTAATCAAAATGAAAATGAAATCCCGTCCTGGCGATTCGCGCAACGGGATTTCTAATGATTTTTATTTAGTTCACTTCAAGTCTAGTGAACTAAACAACCTTAAGGCCTTAGAAAAAGCTAGCCTTATGCTCCATGTCCGAGTGAAGTGGGAACACTTCAGGAAGACTGGAGGAAATTTCCAAAACCTCACTCAGTGCCATAAGTGCCAGGGATGGGGTCACGGAACTAAAAATTGCTACATGCCAGCTAAATGCATGAATTGTGGTGATTCCTCTCACGCAAAGGACGACTGTCCTGTGAAGGAAGATCCTAAGAAATTTAAATGTTCAAATTGTGGTGAAAACCACAAATCCAATTTTTGGGAATGTAAGATTTGCAAGAAGATCCTACAATCTCGTTCTAAGCGACAGTTAGGAAACGCTCCACGTTTCCGACCAGGTACAAATTCCTCTGCTGTTAACAACGGTCAGCGAGGAACAAATTCTACATTCGTACCCGTAGGTACAAATATCACCCCTGCTTCAAATTTTTCATATGTACCTACTCCCCTCGCTGCTAACAATGTTCAGCGAGTTAATGGAGCTACCTATGCTGCTATTGCAGCGGGTAGAAATCAAAATACTAACCAACGTTCTAACGGAAATTTTGACTTAGGAAGCATTACTGCCCCTAAAATGGAATTTTTACAGAATTCATTAATTGACATGATTTCTGATATGCTTAAATCTAACTCCATGTTTGATGCTATTCAAACTGGAGTAAAATTTGCTAATAATATTGTCATGACTTTAAAATTCAGTAATGGATTTTAAAGCATTAAACATTTTAAATTGGAATGCTCGATCTCTTAAAGATAATGAAGACGAGCTATTTAACTTTTTGACAGTTCATAACGTGCATATTGCCGTTATAACTGAAACGTTCCTTAAACCTGACCATAAGGTTAAGAAGGACGCAAATTACTTGATTTATAGAAATGATCGTCTTGATGGACCCTGTGGTGGCGTTGCCATCATTATTCATAGACGAATCAAACATAAAATTCTTTCTTCATTTGAAACCAAAGTTTTGAAAACTTTGGGAGTTTCTGTTGAAACTAAATTTGGACAACTTACGTTTATAGCTGCCTATTTGCCATTCCAATGCGTAGGCCAGCAAAAGAATTTTCTCAAGGGTGACCTCCAGAAACTTACCCGTCATAGGTCTAAATTCTTCATTATTGGTGAATAATGCTCAAAGCAATTCCAATGGTAATATTCTGTTTGATGAATGTTCTGCAGGTTATTCCACTATTCAATATCCAAACAGCCCAACATGCTTTTCTTCTGCAAGAAATTCCTCCACTATTTATTTGGTCTTAACTGATTCATGTCAACTTTGTAGCCAATTGGTTACCCATGCTGACTTCGGTTCTGATCACCTTCCAGTAACTTTTGAAATATACCAAGAAATAATTTGTAATCACAAACCTCTACTTTCAATTACCATAGAGCTGATTGGGAGCAATATCGAAAATTTATGGAATATAACTTCGATCCAAACATTCCTTTGCAAACCAAAGATGAAATTAATTATGCTCTTGAATCTCTGACTACTTCTATAGTTGAAGCAAGAGCTGCCTCAGTACCAAAATGCGAGGTTAAATTCGATTCAATTATAATAGACGACGATCTTCAGCTCTTGATCCGTCTTAAAAATGTCCGTAGGAGACAATATCAAAGAACACGCGATCCTGCCATGAAAGTTATCTGGCGGGATTTGCAAAAACAAATTAAAAAGCGATTCTCTGCCCTGAGGAACAAAACTTTTGAAAATAATGTTTCTAAATTAGACCCGAGCTCCAAACCCTTTTGGAAACTCACAAAAAATTTTGAAAAAACCTCAAAAGCCTATTCCAGCGCTTAAAGAAGGTGGTAAAATTTTGATTTTCTGAAAATTTTCTCTCGGGAAAATATTTTTGATTTGGACGAAGTAAGGTCTATAACTAAAAAGTTTCAAAATATGAAAGCTCCAGGTGATTATGGAATTTTCTATATCCTCATCAAAAAACTCCCAGAGAGTACCTTGTCTTTCTTGATAAAATTATTTAACAGATGTTTCCATTTGGCATACTTTCCTGATGAATGGAAAAATGCAAAAGTTGTTCCAATTTTGAAGCCCGATAAAAATCCAGCTGAAGCTTCTAGCTACCGTCCAATAAGTTTGCTTTCTTCAATAAGTAAACTTTTTGAAAAGATAATTTTGAATAGAATGATGCTTCACATCAATACGAACTCAATTTTTGCAGATGAGCAGTTTGGATTTCGCCATGGGCATTCAACTACTCATCAACTCTTAAGAGTTACCAATTTAATTCGTTCAAACAAATCTGAAGGCCACTCAACTGGAGTTGCTATTCTAGACATAGAAAAAGCTTTTGACAGTGTTTGGCATGAAGGTTTGATTGCTAAATTGAAAAAGTTTAATTTTCCACTTTATATTATGAAATTAGTTCGAAATTATTTAACTGACAGAACTCTGCAGGTAAATTATCAAAATTCCAAATCTAATCGACTACCTGTTAGAGCAGGAGTTCCTCAGGGTAGCATTCTTGGGCCTATATTGTATAACATTTTCACTTCGGACCTTCCTGATTTGCCTCAGGGTTGCCACAAATCTTTGTTCGCTGATGACACAGGCATTTCCGCTAAAGGAAGAAGTCTTCGTGTTATTTGCAGCAGACTGCAGAAAAGTTTAGATATTTTCTCTTCTTATTTACAAAAATGGAAGATTTCTCCCAACGCTTCCAAAACTCAACTTATAATATTTCCACACAAGCCTAGAGCTTCGTTTTTGAAACCTAGTAGTAGTCACATAGTCACTATGAACGGAGTTCCAATTTCCTGGTCAAACCAAGTGAAATATCTTGGGTTAATACTTGACCAAAAATTAACTTTTAAAGATCACATTGAGGGCATTCAAGCCAAATGTAACAAATATATAAAATGTTTGTATCCTCTTATAAACAGGAAATCCAAACTTTGCCTGACGAATAAACTTCTAATATTTAAACAAGTTTTTAGACCGGCCATGCTTTACGCTGTGCCAATATGGTCTTGTTGTTGTACTACCAGGAAAAAAAGCACTTCAAAGGATCCAGAACAAAGTTCTGAAAATGATTTTGAAGTTGTCTCCCTGGTACAGTACTACCGAGGTACATAGAATTTCGAATGTTGAGACTTTAGAACTAATGTCCAACAAAATAATGAATAATTTCTGGCAAAAATCGTTGCAATGCTCAATTGCAACGATTAATTCTAATTCCCTTTATACTTAGATAAGATTTAGTTTTTAGTTTTAAGATATCAATTGTTATACTGACATGCAGGTTTAAAAAACCTGTTTAAAATACTGAATTGCCAAGACATGAACAATGTAAAAACACTTAGCTATATATCATAACAATTAAGGCTGGTAAGTTACTGTAGTAGCTGGAGCACCTAGGTTAAAATGAAATGTAATTTATTTTGGATTTGGAACAAATAGAGTTAAAAAAAAAAAAAAGTTCCTATTTCAACACGTACTTCCACATTCCAATAAAAGTCGCGTAACCGGGATCCACGTCCTACACTGTACCTAATGTGAACCTACTAAAACGACTGTTTTCATTCAACAAGTCAATCTTTCTCATTACAGCGAAGTATTCAAGGCACTGAACAAAACACGTGGACTGTACCTTCGGTGGCGCGAACTGAACGATGCACTTTCCGGTGGCACCACTGCGGAGGCCGACTGGACAACGACCGAGTTGAAAAATTCCCTACGCAGCATCGAATGGGACCTGGAGGACCTCGAGGACACGATCAATATCCTTTTCAAGAAGAGTCGTTGCTTACTTATAACCATATTTTTGTTCAATTTCATGAGCCATTAGGTTTCCTTAACCCTTCCGTCCGATCAAATACGTATTGTAGAGAAAAATCCTAGTAAGTTCAAGATCGACAACAAGGAGCTTTCCAGTCGACGTCACTTCATCGATGCCACCCGCGATGAGGTCAAGTCTATGAAAGATCGCATGAGCATCAATCGCAACCGGGATAGGGATATCACTGCGAGACAACCTCTGTTGGACAACTGTGACAACGGGTCACCTCAGAACCAAGTGAATAAAAATTTCATCAACAATAACTGCATCATCGGCAGTGGCGCAAACGTTGGAGGAACGCACCTGAACAATTTGAACAACAATAATCTGAACCTAGCAGGAACCGGGAAGAACCTGATAAGCTCGGCTGGAGCAGCAATGGCAGCGTCGCGGCACAGCGGTGCCAAATACTCCAAGTTGGAGAACAACTTGGACGACAGCCCGACCCATTATGCTCCCTCGTCGTCATCGGTGCTGGATAGTGGATCGAATCGGTTCGTGGAGGACACGCTTATCACGCAGCAGCGGATAATGGTCTCCCAGGACGAGCAGTTGGACGTGATCAGCGATTCGATCGGAACGCTCAAAACGGTTTCACGTCAGATCGGTGTCGAATTGGACGAACAGGCCGTGTAAGTTCATAGCCGAGGTTCACAAATATTATGCTGCTTATAATTTTTGTTTGTTTTCAGAATGTTGGACGAATTTGGTAACGAGCTAGAGCAAACGGATTCGAAGTTGGACTCCACCATGAAGAAGGTGGCCAAAGTATTGCACATAACTAACGGTAAGCAAGCTCAGAATTTCGAACCCAGAAGCAGCTTTATTTAACATCGTCTAAATTACTACTTGTTCATACATTGCTTTGCTTTTGTTTCATCTGAGCTTTTCCAGGCTTAATAGCAACATAAAAAATGAGAGAAGGATTGGTAATTTATATTTAATTCCACTACCTTAATAGCTTATCCTTGAACTAATACCCGAGTAGACACAGAAGAAGTCTGCACATTGTAGACAAAATACGGGTATTTGTCAAGGATAAGCAAATAAGATAGTGGAATTAAACAGAAATGGCTAATCCGAACTTTCCTTCTTTATACAGGTATTCCACTATATACGTCCACTTTCTTCAGGGTTCATATTTAATAGCTAAATAAAAACTAATATCAGAGTCGACCTTCTTCATTTTATATGAATATCGGAGGGAACCTACTCAAATTTCAAAATTTTACCAAAAGTTGCCCTACTTTTTTTTTTGTAATTTTCAAGTTTTTAACTTGAGAATCTAAGAAAAGCTAACATTTTAGTAAACGTTTGAATAAAACAATATGGACTTTTCTTTTGCTATTTGAATGTTGACGTAGAACCACCGACGAACCGACCTGACAGCTCATACATGCTACATTCAAATTCTTACCCAAGACGCCATATTTAAAATACCGTAAACACTATACACGCTATTTCCAGCCGGTAGAAACTAACGATTTTAAATTGGCTCACTACTTGACTAGTCTATTGGTCCCAAGCAAATTGATTAACGTATCCCATTCTAGTCGAAATTCTAGTACTACACTATGTTTTTTTTTGATTCGCTATGAAAGTTTGACAGATAAAATGAGGGGTTAGTGGATTTTCCTATGTTTCGAGGGGTGAATCGATTAGCTTGGGACTGAAGAGAGTACCAGAGCTGAGCCAAAAAGTTGAGCACGTTTCTTCGGGACCTTGTGGTCTTAGAGTTACCTCTATGCTATTTCCAAGCAACCCAAATTTGAGTATGATCTACTCACATCCGTCAAAAGTAGGGCGCTACCCAAAATTTACTAAATAAAGTTGGAACTGACGAGATGACATAAGAACAGTATCGTCCGGATTCAGGTCGATGTTGTCCATTCGTCATCTTGTCAGTCAAAACTCAATTTTGGGTAGCTCTACTTTTGACGGAAATGAGTAGGTCCTAATCAAATTTGTTTCTTTTTTCCTTTATTTAACGTCGGTCTCTGTTCCGCAATCTAGTGCCAATCACCGATGGACATCGATTGCCATCCATTGACGGCAATCGAATGTGCAGGAAGGTAGCTTCCACACCTGCGTAGGATATCGCACCCATTCCACACACATGGGCCGGGACCAACGGCTTTACTTCCCTTCCGAAGGAAGACGTGACCAGAGATTTGTATGCCTCAGAAAAATCCCACCGACCTCGGCTGGGATTGAACCCAGACCCCAGAGGGTGTTATAAAGCAGTCCTGTTACCACTACACCACCGGCGCCGGCTCTAATCAAATTTGGGTTGTTTAGAAATCGCGTGTACCACCATCTACTCAACCGACCGCGATAATGAGCAAGGACATGAACACACGTAGAATTTATATTGTCTTGGTTTGCGTCTCACCTTCTTTGAAAGATCTGATCGCCCATTTGACAAATCGAATCGCTCGTTTGACCAATCGAATTGTGGTCTGAAATGTGGACAAACGAAATGTTCCTGTGGGATGTTAGTTCGTTGGTGGTAGGACCATAGAGGTAACTCTAAGACCAGAAGGTCCCGAAGAAACGTGCTCAACTTTTTGGCTCAGCTCTGGTACTATCTTCGGTCCCAAGGTAATCGATGTACCCCTCGAAACATAGGGAAATCCACGAACCCCTCATTTTACCGAATCAAATCAAACATAGTGTAGTACTAGAATATCGACTAGAATGGGGTACGTTGTAAGGATGCTCCGCATGTTCTGAGTGATTGCCTGAAGTACAAACAGAAGGGAGAAAAACTAAAGCGGTCTTTGGAAGCTCGCTCTAAGCGCTCGTTAGCAGAAATTTTGAAAACGACCGCCTCATCTTACCAAACCACCCTAAAAAGCAACAACACATTCCACCTCCTGCCAGATGATGATCAGGGCTCTGACTCAGAGGTTGGTGAGAGTAGTCCTTTTGTCTTTAACGGCAACACGAGGAAGCGGTCCAAAACAAACATCACCCAAAAACCTCGTATGGATTCTCAACCTACCTTGACAAATTTAAGAGTTAGCGGGAATGTAGCAAAACCCCCACCATCGGGATTTAAAGTTTGTAAGTTTAACAAAGACTTTCCGCCACTTCCGGGATCATCTGAAACCCCAGATATCCCAGTTTTTCAGCCAGAAAAACAGCTGAATAACCAGCAAGAACATGATGCCACATCCACCACAATGGATATAGTTGGTGTGAAATAATAATATTAAAATAAATATAAAAAAAAAACTTGAGAGTTGTGTCATGTAATGATACACTCCATTTGAGTTGAACTAAATTAGCGTGAAGCATGACAGATGTGAGGGGAAATACTGGCAAAGCAAGCAGTGCTGGATAAACGAGGAGAAAATGCGGAGGGTATAAATATGAGCTATCTAAGCTCGTTGACGACATTCTTGTAACTAATGTCGTTTTCGTTTTTGCGGTGTAGCACCGGTGTAGTGTAAGCAAGAATAAGCGCGAGCCTTTGGCAGCTAAACATCATTTCAGTGCCAACATTTCAAAGGGGCGTAATTGCTTTTGTAAACAATGACTTTAGCCATCAATTTCTCGCGAATGAAATCTTACCTCTTCAAAATAACAATGCTAGCTGGTAGAGGAAACATTCCTCTACCTAATGGTGTCATTATTTTTCATGAGTGAGCTTTTATTCGCGAGAAATCGATGGCTAAAGCCATTGTTTACAAATGCAATTACGCCCCTTTGAAATGTTGGCACTGATTTATTTGTAAACAAAGGTGCATCCTAAATCTACACCTTAAATTATTTCGGTGTACGGCAGTGTAGCACCGGTGTAGCTACACCGCATAAACGAAAACGACATAACTTTGGCAGCGAAGGACATCAGCAGTAGCAGCAGCAGAAGCAGCAGCAGTAACAACATCAGCAGCAGCAGTAATGGAAGCGGAGCAGCATCACTGATTTGTGAAGCTGTTGTACCTGATTAACGGCTTGCTGTTTGTTCAGACATATGGCTGAGGCTGGAAACCTCGGTCAGGTCACGACAGCCATGTTCACGTTTTCAGGAATTGTGGAGAGCATCTTCAATATATACAACGTCTCTGACTCAACTAGGAACATTATTAATTAAGTGCTTCCATTTGTGAAAACTCTTTTGAAGCAACTAGCATCTAGGTGGTCCTTCCTTGCATCGATCATATCCTTTGATGGATAATTTTCCGAATGAGGTCGGGGATATGATCTCTCTTCTTCAGTCTTATACCGAAACTTGACACATTCAAATTTTTAGTTCACAACTCACTTTGTGATGCATTTGCTCTTTGTGAAACATGGCTTTCTTCAGACACCGATCTCCCTTTCCACGATTTTAACATTATTCGCCTTGATCGAGCAGATTCGTATGGAGGGGTGCTTCTCGGGATTAATAAGCTCCATTCCTTTTATAGAATCGATCAGACAGGCATTGATGTTGTCGCATGTCAGGTCAATATTCGAGGTAAAAGCACAAACGAAGTGACAGACGACTAACTGGCAAAGAAATCCATTAAAATAATGTGGTTCACTGTAATAGAATTTTTTTGGAAGCTTGTGCCATCATTCACCAGATGGGTTGCTGTTTTTGTTTTGATTTGAACAAAGTTGATTTTGTGTACAATGATTCTTTGACAGTGTGCAAAGAGTGTATCATTTTGTCATTTTTTTATGCATTTCAGTTATGAGTAGAGTGGAAGAGATAGAACCAAAACATTCTAATAAATGTGGTGAAAATGCTAGTACAATCCAGTAGTAGTGTTGCCATGTGGTACAATCCAGTAGAAGTGGTGTTGTCATGTGGTACACTGAAAAATTGAAATAGCAGTTTAGTCACCAAAGTTTTCGAGCCGCTCCGTCTGTCACTTCGTTTGTGGTAAAAGCCTCAGTATTGCCTCAGTATATCCATTAGGCTGATGCAAAATTTGACTTTTTCGCTCCACAGTGCTTAAATGGTTTCAACTCGCCATTTGAAGTTTACATGTAAATGACTATGGAAAATCTCAACTTTTTGTTCATTGCCTTCTAGTCTTTTTCCATATTGAGCTGCGAAACAGTTCGATAACCATTATTATAGAAAATTTTCTCAGCTATAACTTTGCTGAAGATCGTTTCTATGTAAAACGAGACAGGAAAAAGTTATTAATTATTTAAGAGATTGGTAAACTTATGACATGATCAAGCAGCTGCTCTGTAGGCAACACTGTATTTTGCAGTGTTACATAGTAGCCATGATTTTTGTGTCCTATTCAACGCCGCAGAAACACCAATGTTGCCTGCTGAGCAGTTGATTGAGCATGATCATAAGACATCAGCGCATTGAACCATTGATAACTTTCGATCCTTGCATGCAATCAAAAAGTGGTCTTGAAAAAAGTTGTAGCTGGAAAAATTTCCTACAAGTACAGTTGAAAGCTTTTAAAGCAGACCGATATGGTGAATTATTAGATAGACATGAACAAAAATCTTGGTTTTACCATAGTAATTCCCATACAAACTTCAAATGGTTTGTGCCATCTCAGTTTCTCACCAAATGGGTTCAAATTTTGAGAGGTTAGTCAGGATCCGATTTGGAATCGTTTAAGTATTATGGAGCGAAAATTTCAAATTTTGCATCACTCTAATATCCATAGAGTCAACTCTAAGACGACACATCTAAATCTCAATTCTAGATGCTCAAAAAATTTCACTCTAGCGAATAAATCTTCGAAAAATCTTCTTTCATTTCTCGCATCTACTTGCATCGAGCATCATCTTTTTGCAGGAAATCTTCAAAATCGTGATAAA